TAAATCAATGTGCGGTGACCACGACTACAATTACCTTTATGTACTTTGTCAGAAACATTTACGGCAATCTTATTTCTACGTCGGTTGTACTCGCACTTTTTTCGCATTTTTTTCTCTCATTTATTCACTTACATTTTCACTAGTTCACATATCCATTCCCTTACATTCGTTCATTCGCTCGTTCTCTCTCTTTCTCTCTCTCTCTCTCTCTTTTTCTCTCGAGGTTAAACTTACATTTTCTCGCCGGCCTGCCCGGCTTGTTCGACATGCTGATCACTAACTGTCCACACCACTCATTTGATGGCGAATGTCCACTGTCGCTGGTCGCACGCCGGGTGCGCCGACCGTTGTAGAGCCACGTGATAGGGATACAGCGTTGCCACATTACCACACACAACAAACACACACTAAAGCATGATCTCATGTCCGTGTATGTTCCACGGCTTCGCCTGATTTTTCGATCCGCGGTACGATCTCAAGTCGCGTTTTCTTCTTATTCTCTCTCTCTCTCTCTTTCTCTTTCTTTCTGTCATACTTATAGAAATATGACTTGGGATCCAATTTCACAAATTGACAATGTCAAATATTATTATCTATGTATTTCTCAACTTTTACATTAATAAATTTATGCGATATTATTATCTATGTATTTCTCAACTTTTACATTAATAAATTTATTATATATGTAAATATTTTTAATAAAATATGTAAATATGAAAATGCATAAATATGAAAATCCGTTGTTAGTAAATATGTATTTTTTAATTCAATTTGTTACAGTTGTGTATATACAAGGTGTCCCATAATAACCGCCTAAAATCTCGTGGGCTGGTAGAGCAGATTAAACTGAACAGAAAAGTCCTGTACCAATTTGCAAAATTCGCAATCGTTAACGAGATATTAATTTTTGAAGATTGACGAATAAACGCGTATCCGTCCGGCCCACCGCTGAATGCAGGCGCGCAGCGGAATACGGCCGTCCCACCGCTGGCCGTTGCTACGCGCGCGGAGATAAACAACGATGGCTACGGCAGCTACACACGAGCGGTGTGTAGCGCTGGCTTTCCGTTTTGATTCACGGTTGTCCCACGCCTTTTTTATTACAATCCTTTACATATTAATATGTATAACGCATAGGAAAATGTA